CTGAATATGCAATATGGCGATAGGTTCGAGCAAAGAGAACCACCCACTGAAGATAAAATAGTCCAGATTAACATGGGTGATGAGGCCAACCCAAAGCCTATATTCATCAGCGACAGTCTTCCCCCAGATGAGAAGGAGGAATTGATTGCTCTCATCAGGGAATATATCGACGTCTTCGCATGGAATTATGAAGACATGCCAGGGCTCGACCCCAATGTCGCAATGCACCGCCTCGATATCAAGCCGGATGCCAAACCTGTCAAGCAACAGCAAAGACGGTTTCGTCCGCAGATTATGGAAGCCATTGAGGCAGAGGTTAAGAAGTTGATCGAATCAGGATTTATCCGAGAGGAACAACATCCAGACTGGTTAGCCAACATCGTTCCCGTCATGAAGAAGAATGGCAAAATCAGGATTTGCATCGACTTCAGGAACCTGAATGAAGCATGTCCGAAAGACGATTTCCCTCTCCCAATCACGGATGTCATTATCGACAATACATGTGGATTCGAGAGGATGTCCTTCATGGACGGCTTTTCGGGGTATAACCAAATCAAGATGCACCCGGATGACGAGAAGCATACAGCGTTTAGAACACCCCTCGGCGTCTTCTGCTATACGGTGATGCCTTTCGGTCTGAAGAATGCCGGTGCCACATACCAGCGAGCGATGACTAAGATTTTCCAAGAACATCTCAGGAAAACAGTCGAATGCTACGTTGATGATTTGGTTGTGAAAAGCCGCAACAAAGAAGATCACATCAAGGATTTGAAGACGATGTTCGATCTCATGAGGAGTCATCAATTGAAGATGAACCCCACTAAATCATTCATTGGAATGTCCAGCGGAAAATTCCTTGGGTTCGTCGTCACCACTAAGGGTATACATATCGATCCCGATAAGGTGAAGGCGATACATGAATTGCAACCCCCGAGGAATCTGAGAGAACTCAGAGGATTGCAAGGGCGTTTAGCTTACATCAGGCGGTTCATCTCAAATCTCTCTGGGAAGTGCCAACCTTTCTCTAAGCTAAACAAGAAGGGTGTGTCATTTATTTGGGACGACGCCTGCCAAAAGGCACTCGAGGATATCAAGACATATCTGACAAATCCTCCTGTTCTCGTTGCACCAAAATCAGGTAAACCGTTCTTGATTTACATCAAGGCGATGAACCATTCGATAAGTGGTTTGTTAGCACAAGACGATGATAATGGTCACGAACAGGCAGTTTATTATTTAAGTCGGACTTTGGTGGGCGCTGAGTCTCGATATCCGATGATTGAGAAAGAATGTCTCGCGTTGGTGTTTGCAGTGCAAAAGATGCGGCATTACTTAGTGGGACAGACAATTTATGTTATCTCCAATGTTAATCCTGTGCGAGTATTTATGACGCAACCGGGTTCGATGAATTGGCGGTTGGCAAAATGGGCCATCCTCTTGTCCCAGTATGATCTGCACTTTAAACAGCAAAAGTCGGTCAAGGGACAAGCGATTTGTGATCTTTTGGCGGCAAACCCGACCGCAGATGCGGCAGAAGTATATGATGACTTGCCGGATGAAACCCACGAGGTTAACACTACATCGCACCGGCAAGTATGGCAATTATATTTTGATGGTGCTTCAAGAGCAGTTAATAGGGTAATAACCCTGGGACGTCCCACCGTTTCCTCTGGAGTTGGAGTCGTCTTAATCTCCCCAGGAAAGCATGTAATGCCCCGAGCTTATTCATTGACTGGTCCGTGTTCCAATAACGTGGCCGAGTACAATGCACTTCTTATTGGACTCAGTTTCTCCAAGGAGCTGAGGGTCGAATATCTCGAAGCTTTTGGGGATTCTCAATTGATAGTCAACCAGGTCCGCGGAGAGTATGAAGTCAGGAACCAAGACTTGATCCCGTACCACCAGGAAGCCATCAAAATGGTAGAATCTTTTGAAGAATTCTTCATTGAATATATCCCTCGTCTCCAGAACGCTTATGCAGATGCACTGGCGGCACTAGCTGTATCACTGGCACAGCCTCCCGAAACTGAGCTGTTAGTCACAGTACGGACGCATCAACTCTGCGTACCCATATACAGTAGGGATATTGAAGAGGAAGATGACAGAAACGTAAACGCCAAGGAGGTGAATTCAACTCAAATTGGGTCTGAGTCCCGAGATTGGCGTTTTCCCATCATTGACTACGTCCAGTATGGTATTCTGCCAGAAGATGTAAAGGAAAGGGAATCAATTCGCCGAAGAGCGCCAAGATTCTTTTATAATACCGAGACCCATACGTTATACCGTAGGGGATACGATGGTTTATTACTCCGATGCCTTTCGAACAAAGAAGCAGAAGAAGTTCTTAAGGAAGCGCACGAAGGAGAATGTGGTGCGCATCAGCCCGGTCCCAAACTGTATGATCGCATCAGGAGGATGGGATATTTCTGGCCAACGATGGTTCGTGACGCAATCGAATACGCACGAGAATGCCACGCTTGCCAGATACATGCAAATTATATGCATCAACCGCCAGAGCAGTTGCACACATCAACCACGTCATGGCCGTTCGAAGTATGGGGCATGGACATTGTTGGTCCTATTTTTCCTCCTTCAGTCAAAGGTGATCGATTCATTCTGGCGATCACGGATTACTTCTCAAAGTGGGCTGAAGCAATTCCGCTTAAAGAAGTAAAGACGAACAACGTCATCAATTTCATCAAGCATCATGTCATCTACAGACACGGCATGCCAAGAAGGATCATTCATGACAACGGTCCGCAATTTATAAGCAACGCCTTCATCAGATTTTGTGACAAGTTCAAAATTGAAGACGTTTCATCAACACCTTATTATCCCGCCGCGAATGGATTAGCGGCGGCGTTTAACAAGACGATCATTAAGATCCTGTCAAAACTCGTGAAAACCAATAAACGAGACTGGGACGATAAACTCGGTGAGGCACTCTGGGCTTACCGCACCACCATACGCACGCCCACAGGTGCCACCCCGTATTCGCTGGTATACGGATGTGAAGCTGTGCTACCGCTGGAAATTCAAATTCCATCTCTTCGGATCGCCCTCGCAACAGAGATGATGACAGAAGAACAGCATCAAAAGCGTCTCGAAGAGCTTGAGAGGCTAGATGAAAAGCGTTTGGAAGCTCAACAGCAAATTGAGTTCTATCAGGCCAGGATGTCTAGGGCTTTTAACAAAAGAGTCCGACAGAGAAGCTTCAAGGAAGGAGATCTGGTCCTCGCTGCTCGCCGACCAATAATCCTCACTTCCAAGAAGAAAGGTAAATTCGAACCCAAATGGGAGGGGCCGTTTGTGATAGACACAGTCTACTCAAACGGCGCATATCGCCTAATTACTCAAGAAGGTACCCGGCAATTGATGCCAATAAATGGGAAGTTCCTGAAAAAGTACTATCCTTAGTACCTCCAGGATAACTCATTTATCGGGAAGTTCCTTAAAGAATATTACACTTAATATTCTAGGGGATGACCCAAAATCATTTTTACCACCAAAATCCCTCACTGATCAATTTCAATTGACAGTGAGTCCACCAAAAATGTTTTTCTGGCCCTCTTGATTCTTTCCATGAACAAGAGGTCCACTTTCGGTTCGGAGTCCCCTTCCGATAAACGAAAGAACTTCTTCCCTTTTTCTCTTTGGTTTAGATAACCCATCCTATAAAAGGCAAGTTTATCTAAATTTTCCAGATTCTCGGAGTGGACACCCCACTTCTAGTTTCTTCTTCGCTGGAAATAGATTATAAAATTCTTCCTTTCCAGAATCAAGGAATAGAATATAAAATTCTTCCTTCCTTGTTATTCGGGTTTGCCTTCACCCTAAAAGAAGACCGGGAAATAGAATATAAAATTCTTCCTTTCCCGCACCGATTTTCCCAAGATTTGTCAATCTAGGATTCATCCTAGGAAGTTTATCCCGAATCCTAAGCAGGGATAAGTCTGCGCCTAATACGCGCTACCGGTTTAGTCTTTTTCCGTGCAAAAAGACACCAGAGTTCGATTCTGGGGTATTCTATCCCGAAAACTAAGCAGGGATAAGTATGCGCCTAACCCGCGTTGCCGGTTAGTTCTTAACCGTTAAAAAGAATACCCGTCCGCATATTCAACATTGTGGCAGGTTGTTATTAATAACACCAAAATCCATGCCTTACACGCGTGGGGAATTTAGTCTTTTACCGATTGAAAAAGACACCAGAGTTCGATTCTGGGGTATTTTATCCCGAAGCCTAAGTAGGGATAAGTCAGCGTCTAATACACGTTGCTGGGTAGCCTATTCCCATGACAATGGCGAAGTCTACGTATTCAATGTCGTAGCACAAAGTCTAAGGGAGTTCATTCCTTTAGCGCAACGTTACATGCGAACGGATTTAGACAATCCGCATGCTAGCCCGACTCAAACGGTAGTCGGTAAAGGCTAATCAAATCCGTTGAAGGCTGGGGGTTAGCCAAAAATCCTGAAGTCAACACCTAACACGTGTCGCCGGGTAGCCTATTCCCGTAACAATGGCGAAGTCTATGTATTCGACATCATAGCATAAAGTCTCGGAGAATTCAATCTCCGAGCATAACGTTACATGCGAATGGATTCAAACAATCCGCATGCTAGCCCGACTCAAACGGTAGTCGGTAAAGGTTCATCAAACCCGTTGATGGCTGAGGGTTTGCCAAAAATCCTATGAGTATTGTGGTCAATCATTTCAAATGGAATGACGAATCATAATAAAGACGAAAGCAAGTTTCACTAAGAGAATCAAAAGTCAAAGTGTTCAGCAAACAAAATCATACATCAAGACCATGACCAAAAATCTGCTGACTGATCTTAGAAAGCTTCTCATCATAAGCTTGCCTAAGTTCAGCTCTGATGGACTCCTCGGTGGTGCCTGAAGTCCTCGCAGCGATCTCTTCCATCTCGGCTAGCTTCTGCTCCAAGGATCTCAACTCATCAGACAAAGCAGTGTGGGTTTGCTGATCCTGTGCTTTCGTCATCTAAAGAATATCCAAAGTCTCCTCCTTTTCACGGAGTGTTCTTCTGAGCTGGTCTATCTCGATCGCACAGGAGGTAATAGAAAGATCGAGCTCGGCAAGCGAAGATAATCTAGTAGCAAGGCTCGTCTTAACTCGATCTACTCGGCCCCGCTGCATCTGAATCTCGAGATCAACAAAAATCTGAGTCTCGAGATCAGCAAAAATCTGAGTCTCGCGTGATGACTGTAAGCGGGTGTCCAGCTCGGCAGCAATAAATGAGGAAACACCTGCATCTCGGAGCTCACGAAACATCTGAAGCTCATGCTCTAGGCAATCAAGGTCATCAACTATAGCCTGTGCCAAATCTGGATGTCCCGCTTCCCTTATCAAATTGACTTTAGAATCAAGGAAAGGCTTGAATTGGCGAAGAGAAAGTCCACCATGGAAAAGCTTGCCAATCATAGCATTCATGAAAGAGAAGAAGGAGCGGACTTCTATACAGATGACAATCTTCTCAGGATCATCATCATATAACAACTCCCTCGCCAGAATATGAAGACGAGAAGAAGGCCCTGCACGATAAAAAAAAAGATAAAACCGTCAGACCTTGAAGAGTAAATAAATAGTATTCATACCCTCTTGAGTCACTGGGGGTGGTGGAGGTGTAACGGCTGGGGGTGTATCAACTGGTGTAGTTGGTCCCATAGCCGGCTCAACGGGGTCATTCTCAACAAAAACTCCTGTTAAATACAAGTCAGAATTCTCAGAGGCATCACATTATAGCTGCATTAGTCAAAATTGGCTAGTCCTATAATTAATTTGGGAGGAGGCATATACCTTCGAAAGAATCATCCTCAAGATTCTTATCGAACGTAGGCTCGGAAAATATATCTCCGGGTAACTGGCCATCAAATTGAGGAGAGCTATACATGAAGTGGAGTGTAGGAGTCTCCGCGATCAAGCCTTCCTCGTCAAAATCATCAATAGAGAAATCTGACGTAAAAGAATATAAGTACCAAAGAAGAATAAAGAGACTACAACCAACAAAAATGAGTTACCCCTTATGGATGCGTTAGCCTCTTTATTCCCAAAATCCACGTATGCCTCCTGCAAGTTATCTGAAGAAGCAAGATGTACAGAGATGATTAGAGGATGCACAAATTCTTTTGTATACCATCTAAAAGATACATTGTCAATAGTAGATGTACCTGGATCTGCGGAATCAGGTCCTACATTGCTATCCTCCCTAATGTCGGCAACCCCTGTAGGCCTTTTTAACTGGGGCAGCGGGTCAGGCTCACCAGGAGACACAGGAACGGAATCGGGACTCATTTCGCTCTCTCCACGCTCTCCTATATAGAGATGGAAAAGCATGAGTCAATGTTCCGAATAACCAAGAAGGTGGTTTACAGAGTAGATGTTACCCCCGTCACTAGCAGGATCATCACCAGCCAAGTCCATATCAAATGCTCGGGAAGCTGCACGCGGCTTGCGGGCTAATCTCTTCCGCCTAGCAGCAGGAACAATAATCGAAGGTCTCGCCTGGGGAGGGGGACGGAACTCTTCATCCTGGTCAACTGTGGTCCCTGAAACATCAAACCATAGTCAGTTTCAATATTTCTGGAAGATGGAAGGAAAAGATGAATAGCAAACCTCGCTCGGAAAAGTCTTCATAACCTTCAGGATCTCCCCCTGAAGCCTCGTCTGCGGAATGAAAGGTCTTCTTTCCCTCTTCATCAATCCGACGAGTCTTGTTCCGTGTCCTTTGTGACCGAGCATTGTCCCGGATCACATGAGAATCAATCTGAGAGGCTTCTTTGGCCACCAACACTTCAATAGGCTTCACAGAGACAGTCTTATTAGCTGCTAACAACCACCGGCAGCTCAAGAAAGTAAGGTTCAACTGTCGCTCAGTACCCGGGAGGCTGAACCTAGCACCAGTGCAGCCTGTCACGGTCCACAACCATGCACGAAGACCGTCCACCAAACCTCCATGAGCCCGAAGATGCTGGCGCGGGTTCCCGACATAAAGCTGGTCATAACCAAACTGGCGAGCGAATCGGCAGGGTAGATATGGCTCTATAAAACACTGATTCCCCACCCGGAAAGTCAGGTAGCCCGGCCTGATGTTCACTAGCCAATTAAAGCAGCCGATATCTAAATAAGTGCGATACTCCCTCGGCTTCTCCTCATCAATCAAACGCTCGCCATACCGAATGGAGAACTGCGGAAAGCAAGTGGAGAATGCCCAGCACTTGTGGACCTGTAACTGCCTCCTGATATCAGAGAATCCTCGGCCTTCCCACTCGCCATTCTCAAGCAGCTGTAGTAAGGGAACAGAGTGGTCCATAGCATGCGGTACCGACAGAATGATGAAGGACGAACCAAGCATTCAAATAAACATACGGAAGCTCCACCTTAGTGGTAGGAATCTGAGTCGGCGATTCCTTCTCCTCCCGTGTAAAAGCGCCAGAAATTTGTCGAAGCCCCCGATGAATGTTAGCCACCATCACCGGAAGAAGGGAGAGTTCCTTTCTGTAGGCAAGTTGAACCGCAGGGTAGAGCACTTCCAGTGGCAGAGCGTCACCAGACTGATACGGGACCACGCATTTCTTTAACCAGATAGCGAGGTAACCGGCAAGAAGAGTCATCGGACGAATCGGTGCGGTCGCATGACATAAGAACGATCTGAATTTAGTCCCTGCAGGAAAGCCACTCTCAGGACTGCTAATGGTATAGGAGTGGGCGTCAGTCTTCTTCAGCAGCTCATTAACCTCTGAAGGAGTCAGCGGTGCCAGTTCACAAATAGCTTTGCCAGAATGGCTCTCTAGATTCCTGAACAAATATGATGCGAATTGCATCAGGCTCACATTTGATTTGGTCCTCTTCGCTAGGGGTTTAGACTGCGCCAAAGCAATGTGATAATGACAAGTGAGGTCCGATAAGGTCTCGTAGCGGTCGGGCATGCGATCTTTCAGCTGACTCAGTTCATGGTTGGAAGGAAAATACTCCTGGTATAACATCTGACCCATGGGCAGACCGGAAATCTTATGCATCTCATGAAGAGCCAAACCCAACTCACCGTGCCTAGTCAGAAAGGTGTTCGAATCCGGATTATAAAGCTCGCATAAGGCAAAGAAATGCCTCGCACTAACAGGTAAACCATGCATGGTGGCACGAATGGCTGCATAAAGACCGCAAGCGTGCAACTCCTCACTCCATCGGCTCAAGACGTACTTCGTCATATGAGCCCACCAAAACTTGTCCAAAGAATGGACCCAACCATAGAATCTGTGGCGCGGCGCAGGCATCTCCCGTCCTAAGTTAGCGAGGCGATTCCTCAAAGTGGAAGCGGACGCAAGGAACTCGTTACGGGGCGGTGCATGTAGCCCCAGTACTCCAGGACGCAGTCCAACAATGTGATTCCTGCTCGAACCAGGAACCGCCTGATGAGTAATGTAGCCGCAGTGAACGCTCTCATGCTCCTCTGTCAAACACCACGACATCTCCCGCTTCACAGCCTGACGCCTGAGCTCAGTCAAAGAACGATGTCGAGGAATCCTCGGCAAATACAAGAAACTACTGCCAGCCTTATGAAGCCACTGCTCGGCGTCGATAAATGCTGCATCGGGATATCTGACAGAATCGCCAAACAAGAAATCAGTCTTCCTGAGAGACTGAACAGAACTAGCATCCTTCACGAGGGGCGCATCTGTAATCAGCTGACGAAGGGTTTGATGTCCACCTTCCTTCACCACTTGGGCAACCTCTGTCGACGTGCCCGGAACAAACTGGGAAGCAAGTGGAATCAGCGAAAAATCATCAGACGTCGAATAATATTCGTCACGACGTTCATTCACCGCATGCGATGAAAAAGCTCCGGAAGGATACTCCACTGAAAACAAGCAATTAAGTGTTTGTTAATTCCAGTTATAAAAGGAAATTGTACTCATCTTACAAATCGGTAAGATAGAGTCATTGCCTTATAAAGGGTGTGACGTTTTGGCCACGTTGCGCCTTCATAAGATAGGGTATATCGATAATATATCCCTGCCTTATAAGGCACAACGCAGCGACAAAACGCCCCCTTTATTTATTATGAGATAGTGTTTTGACCAAGCAAAACATATCTTTGAAGCGTCGATCCTCACCAAGGAGAATCAAGGCTTTTCCCGGTTGCCTCACCAAGGAGAACAACGGGGAGTAAAAAGGACCAATTTGCAAATTTCCAAGAAAAAATGGACTAATTTGTAAATTTCCAGAAAAAATAGCTCACCGGCATAAGAGGGAGGCGCGCCATCAGTCGGCACGGTAGAGGATTGACCCCTCGTCATACGGGACATAGAAACCTGCAAGGTAAATTGAGGGATCAGATCTAGAAAAGGAAAAATCTCATTTTTTATCACAATTCCACCCATAAAAAGGCGAGCCTGAGGCATCAAATCACACCCTCAACCCTTATATGCGATCCCGCGACTCCATACACTAGATCAAACATGAAATAGATCAAGATTGCGGAGGATTTACCTGAAGAAAAGCCCAAAATTCAATAAAGGCGAGACCTTTAAGGAAACTTGAACCACACGCTCAAGGGGCCTGAGAGAAACATTTTATTTGGAGTTTTTGGGAGATTTCTCAGTCCAAGATTCAAAGGAAAGCCAGATTTAAGACAAATATCAAGGTTTGAAAGAGAATGGAGGCTCGAGGGAAGAGAAATCAAGAGAAGAGAGGGAGGGGATGGTCGGCCCTAGAAAGAGAGGAAGAAAAAGAAAAAGAAAAAAAAAAGAACCCCTTTTATAGTCTTGAACCAGATCTGGCTGAACCAGACCAGACCGGGCTAAACCAGACCAAGCCAGATTGGACCAAAATGGACCAGAATGGACCAGAATGAGCCAGAATGAGCCAGAATGAGCCAAATTGAGCCAAATTGAGCCTGGCTGGACCAGACCAGACCAGAATGAGCCAGTCTGAGCCAAATTGAACCAGTTTGAACCAAATTTGAACCAGAATTCAAATTGGAGCTGAATTAAGCATTGAAACGACTTTTGATCAACCTACGGTTCAGTCCTTCACCTATTTTACCCCTCTACCATATATTTGGAAGGGTCGGAGAGATTTTTGAACCCAAATACTGCCTTTTGGCACATTTTTTGGGACGGTTCAGATTATTCGAACCTAAAGAATACTCCAATAAGGTATACGAGTATAAACTATTCCCTCCTCTTTGTTGAGAAGTTTCTGGAGAATATTTTTCTAAAAATATTCTTAAGGATAACTCAACATAACTCCCAGGAGTGTATGAGTATAAACTAGACCTCCCCGCTCCAACTCCTTAAGAGCTTAAACTGTGTAGACTCCAAAATACTTACGAGTGTAAACTGTGTTAAACGCCGGACAACGCGTCACAATGAAGATTCAAAGCCATCAACCGATGGTCAATTCCATGTTGAAGCAACTAATTCGAGCTAAAAAGCCAGGAAATCAAGAATCGACTTCAAATTCAAAATTCCGACAACGGTCAGACAATAAATGCAGCACCGTAACCCTCTCAAACATTCGACAAAGCACCGAATAGCCTGGAGGATTGAAGGAATCGAGAATAGAAGCCATTCCAAGATCCCGTTACACCGATTGAAGGTTGGGACAGTCATATCCAAAGTATTCCAGACTCTTCTATAAAAGAACGAGACTGGAAAACTTTGGAGGGGGTATCTGTAGGCATATAAAATTGCTTATAGGTCCCTTGACACGGTTCAACACGAACTAATGAACCATCAGGCGACGTATCTAAGCACGAACGGGTGGCTCGGCATGAGCCGAGCCACCCTGAGGTGGCCGCCCAGATCTGTGCCAAATGCACAGATCTGGTTGCCTATAAATAGGCGGAGTCATTCATCATTTTGGGGGACTTTTGGAAGAACTTTTGGAGAGCCGAAACTCTGCCAGATTAAGACCTCATCTTGGAGTTTTTGAAGGCTTGAAGACTTGGACGTCCAGATCTGATTCTTGGCGAGCACCCGCAGCACAAAAGGCAGGAGTTCGAGGGGATCGAGATCTCAGATCTACGTTGTTACACTCCGGATCAAAGCTTGGTCTTTGATCCCGAGATTCGAACGATTGTTTCCTTGGTGAAATAATCCCTCCGGCTATTATTTCCTTAGTGAAATAATACCCGTTATACTGCGTAGATCTGTTCGGATCTAGATCGCGCGGTGGTCCACGGCAAACAACCCCGGCGCAGGCAAACAACCCACCCAAGCGAGTGACCGAATAACAGGAGCTCGCGATTTGTTCGACGAAAGAGAAAAAGTTGTAATTTTTAATTTTCTTTATTTTTGATTTTCATTGTAACCGGATCTAAAAAAGACCGGATCTTCTGTAACCGAAAAACTGTTATTCAAGATAGCAATGGAATCAATGATGAAGAAAGCAACGATTTTCCCCGCGAACAGGGATGTTATTTGAATACAGGAGAAAGATGTACTCTCAGTATTTTGGATTTGACAGATGAGGCAGGGCAGAGGATAAGCCCGTTGCTCGGTCGTCCTTCCCTCTCCAGATGGCGGTTAGTAATTGGAGGGGAAGTCATTCGAGCCCAGAAGAGCATCATGTCATTCGAGCCCAGAAGAGCATCATGGCGATCCCAGAGAAGTAACTTGTGAGTAGAATAAGCGGCTTGTGCAGGGGATTTGTCAAAGAAGAGATCTTGATAGGATTAATCAGTGCTGTTGTGTTGATTGACATCAGAGGTGAGCTTAGCTGGATCTTATCCCCTTAGTAGAGGCGAGTCGGTTAGTGAGTTGTCTTTGTAATTTCCTGACTCGATAGCCGAGTGAGACATGGGTCGAGTGTATAGTCGAGCTGTCCGAGTGAGTTACGAGCCATTTAATCGTAGTAATTTCAATTCAGAGTTGACTTTAGTCGGGTCCAAGTGAAATAAGTATGAGTTTGCTCAGGGTGTTGAGACCTTTTAGCTAGTTAATCGTTGTTGGAGACGTGGTGTGGGATTTGCTAACCACCAATCTTTTGTAGACTGATGTTATCGGTTTTGGGAACCGATTTCTTAGAGAAAATGAGGCGTCATGGATAGAGTAAATGGCTTCTCTCTTGACAATTTATTGGCGTGAGTTACGAGCAACGGTTGGCATTTCGAGCAATTCATTCCAATTCTCAATGTGAATCTTCCTTGGTTGCTTCAAGGCTATGTCTTTTGGGCTTTGTATGTTTCTTTAGAGTCTTATAAATAGTTCCCGATGCTATTTTAAAAGAACATTCTTTACCAGGAATATTTCTCTTCGTCGATCCTTCCTTCGACTCCTTAAGAGATTTTAGCATGGCTTTTACTCAGACTGACTGCGAGAAGAAACTCATGGTCTTGTTCCTATCTAGGTCGACGATTACTTTGGACGAGGCAACTTGGTTGCATAATGAGTACGACATTCCTCGAACGATGACCATAGGGGCACCAGACAGTCTTACTCCGGTGCATATGCATGGGGAGGATCGAGTGCCTCTCTATTGGGCGCACTTGCAGTGTGGATTGCATCTGTCGCTGCATCCCTTTGTATGGGAAGTTTTTATGGCTATGGGGGTTTCCCCTGCCAGTTCCATCCCCACGCCATCTATATCTTGATGTATTTATAGACGTCTGTGCTGAGGCAGAAGTGGTGCCCAGCATCAGTTTGCTTGGGCATGTGGTTAGTGTGGGGTCTGCTGAGGGCGACCCACACTATTTTTTCCACCGTCAGGGAAATTTTCGCTTGGACGTCAATCTCCCAGAGCTATACGAAGAATAGAAGAGGTTCTTCATCTGGGTGTTTGGTGCCGACAATATACTATCCTACTTGGGTTGGCCCGAGGTGCATGATAATGTGTTGGAGCCGAGGGCCCTTAGTGATCTCGAGGCTGGAGATCTTGAGAAGCTCCGGTGTCGCCTCGGTCTTCAGGAGGCTAAAGCTCTGAACAGAGAGGGGTTTCCTGAGATGGGGTGGTCCTCCTCGTCTTCCTCTGATCCCGAAGCGATGGCCCTTCCTCCACCAATGGAGGTCTGTAAAATAGTGGCTGACTCGGAGGGGTCGAGTTCTTCTAGGAGGCCTTTGAAGAAAATGAGGAAGGACTCTGGGGATAGTGGTGCTGAGCCTTAGGTTTTTTTTTCTTGTTAGGCCTTTTGAAGAATATACAAAACTCCTTTTTGAATGAGGAATGATTTCTCCTGTCTTCTGCTTTTGTGAACTACAAATGCTTGATAGAATAGTTGATTCATGTTGTGGCTCCATTTTTCTTTTTAAGAGGAGTGTTGGTCCTTATAGATTAGATATCATATGCGATATATGAAACGACGTCTTTGTTTTTCTTGTTTGGTCGGAAAATAACTCATAAAAGTCGACTCTGGGGTTTTCTCTTTGGTTTGTCTAGATGGGGAACCATAGACTTGATTGCCGACTTGTGGAGTCTTTGTACTTTGGGTTACTCCTGATGGGGAGCCAAGTCCTTCGGACCCGACTAGGAAGCCGTGTTGCCTTGGTTGGTTCTTGGATAAGGAGCCAAGGGCTTTGTTCTAACTAAGAAGTCATTTTACCTTGGACTTATTCTTTAGGAAGAGCCAAGGGCTTTGTTCCGACTGAGAAGTCGTTTTGCCTTGGACTTATTCTTTAGGAAGAGCCAAGGGCTTTGTTCCGACTGAGAAGTCATTGTGCCTTGGTTTTATCTAGATTAGGTACTAAGGTTTTTATTCTGACTGAGAAGTCGTTGCGCCTTAGGCCTGTCCTGAGGCGGCTCCAGGGCCTTATGACCGACTGAGGAGTCCTAGCACCTTAGGCCTGTTCTAAGGCGGCTCTAGGGTCTTGTGACCGACTGAAGAGTCGTTGTACCTTAGTTTTATCCAGATTAGGTACTAAGGTCTTGATACCGACTAAGGAGTCGTTGTGCCTTGGTTTTATCCAGATTAGGTACCAAGGTCTTTATTCTGACTGACAAGTCATTGCGCCATGGATCTGTCCTGAGGCGGCGCCAGGGCCTTGTGACTGACTCAGGAGTCGTGGCACCTTGGGCGTGTCCTGAGGTGGCACCAGGGTCTTGTGACCGACTGAGGAGTCGTTGTGCCTTGGTTTTTTCCATATTAGATACCAAGGTCTTGATATCGACTAAGGAGTCATTATGCCTTGGACCTGTCCTGAGGCGGCGCCAGGGTCTTGTGATCGACTGAGGAGTCATGACACCTTGGGCCTATCCTAAGATAGTGCCAGGGTCTTGTTCTCGTCTGAGGAATCATTATGCATTGGTTTTTTTCAGATTAGGTACCAGGGTCTTGTTCTCGTCTGAGGAATCATTGTGCATTAGTTTTTTTCAGATTAGGTACCAAGGTCTTTATTCCGACTAAGAAGTCGATTACCCAGACGACTAGGTCTTTTGATGTCTTTCTTTTCATTTGACATTTTCTTTGATTGTTTTGAAATTTATAAATGATAGAGGACAACTCATTCACATTTATTCCATCGGGCAGTGCTGGATTCGTGTTTCTTGCTTAGGTGCATTTTGAAAATGGCTTTTTAGCTGGGGTCAAGGTCACCGAGGCGGAGCTTCATTGGCTGTTTCTTTTTCGCCTGTGAACATTTCGGCCTTGGTAAGAGTAAGCTGTTACTTCATTGGCCGTCTTTGTTTCCAAACTGAGGAACGCCCGGAATCAGGGTGGGGTTGTTCTTCCTCTAGAGGGTGAACTATTTAGCTTTGGATGTTGTTGAGTTGTTGGCATATTTGCCATCTCATCAGCCAAGGACCTTTCTGAACCTTTGAGTTTTTGCTAAGGTCCTTGTTGGTCGATGGTGGACACGAGGATTTTTAACAGATCTTGCTTGTCCATCGTCGGTTGTGCTGTATGACCAGAGTCTAGCTGATTGAGCTTTTGGAGGATGATGCTCAACAGGGGGAGGCCTAGGTAACTTTTGTGATGGGGCTTCTTGTTGGTGAGAACCCCATGCACCGAAGCTTTGTTCCCTAGAATTTGATGGGATCATGACTTCCCCTTGGGGTTTCTAGGGATAGCGATGGTCGGACCATCCTATAAATGGAGGAGCCTTCTGGTAGAGGGAGTGCAAGTCACATGCTTCGACCACCAGGTCTTACTTTGACTCTAGAAGTTCTAAGCATTTGCTAGGGTGCCGGGGCTGTAAATCTTCCTGAGAAGACCAAATTACGAGCCTTTGAGTTTTCTCCGCAATCTCACCTTGAGTGAGGAAGGACTCTCCTTTGAAGGTGATGATGGTCCGAAGAGCCGATCACAGACTCCATCGCTGCTCCTTGTTTCTGTGAGCTATTGCTTATGGGAGCTTGAGCGATGCTGGCTCTGATCATAACCCATGGGATTCTGTTTGCTATCCAACCCAAGGCTTCTTGGCTGTCCAAGCGGTGGGCTTTTCATATGTGGCAGTGATAAGAAGCTTGTGCATCATCTTCAAGTCAGAGAAACACCATAGTGGTGTGTCTTTTCCAGGTGGGCTTTCTGGATTCCACTTGCAAATACTCCCCAGAAAGTTGTTGGAGCCCTTGAGGGCTACGCCTATGTTGGCTCTTCATAGCCATAGGCTAATCCTCCTTAGCTTGAATAATGCAATTCCAGACTTTATTTAGCTTGAATGGTGCAATTCTGCATCTTTTAAGAATAGACAAGATCATAGAAGAAAGTGAGCCCCACGATAGGCGCCAAACTGTTGATGTTCGTGAATACACAGTCGAAGAGGGTCTTCCATTGATGATGAAGGTTGGGACGATTAGAGATGGGGCCGACTCCTCCTCCAACTCTACGCCCGATTCTGAGCGCGTGGAGTAGACTGATAGCTTGCACATGTAAGAATCATAGGAGTACGGGGCTAATTTCCCCCGTTGTACCTCTGACGGTCAAGTCAGCTGATGAACTTGAGGAGGGTTTTTTGAGAGGTCCCTAGGCCTTTGAGGTCCTTGCAAGGGGTTCCTCCCTAAGAGTTATTAAATTTTCTCTTTATAAAAAAAGAAGATCGAAAGGGGAGTAAAGCTTAGGTGTAAGAAGCAAAGATCAGCCTCCTCCGCCCTTACCCTCCTTACCTACTTTTTATAGTCCATTGTCTCTGAGATTTAGGCTTTTCTTTTGCATAGGAGGGCGGTTGCAGCATAGGCAGATCGACTGCTTAGTCATCCTTCTCCTTCCAGATATCGGCTGGCGATTGGAAGGGAAGTCATTCGAATACAGTAGAGAGATGTCCTCTCAGTATCCTGTATTTGACAGATAAGACAGGCAAGAGGATAGACCCGCTGCTCAGTCATCCTTCCCTCTCCAGATGGCGGTTAGTGATTGGAGGGGAAGTCATTCGAGCCCAGAAGAGCATCATGATGATCCCAGAGAAGTGATTGGTGAGTAGAATAAATGCCTTGTGCAGTGGATTTATCAGGGCAGAGATCTTGATGGGACAAATTAGTGCTATTGTGTTGATTAACATCTGAGGTGAGCTTAACTGGATCTTATCCCCTTAGTAGAGGCGAGTCGGTTCGTGAGTTGTCTTTGTGATTTCCCGACTCGATAACCGAGTGAGACTCAGGTCGAGTGTATAGTCAAGACGTCTGCTGGAGGAGTCGTCTTGAATACGAGGGACTAACTGGTCCCGCTCTTCGAGTCGGTAATGATGACCCTTAGTCAAAATGACTCGTCCGCTTGACTGGCCGATAGACTTTCCCTTGGCTGGGCTTTGGAGCCTTTAAGCTAGTTTGAACCATGGCCTTTTTAGCCTATGCAGACAATCTTTCGGTATCTTCATCTTTAGATGGTAAATTACTATAACAGTTATGTTTGGCATCAGTTCAGTTGTGAGGCATTACAAAGTCTCTATCTGGTTAAATCTGAAGTCTAGATTTAGAAGATCTGCTGAAGTTGTTGACTAGGTGTAAGATGTTATTAGAAAGTATGTGTTTTTGTAGGGATCTTCCAACCGTTACTGAGTTCAAAAATTTTGATGTTTCCAGGCGTATTCTTCCCATTTCTGTCTATCTTCCTGTCTCTTCTTGTTGCAATTGATGATCAAAGAAAACCAACTACCAGCTATGTTATCAGTGTCCATAAGAAGGTTTGTTGGATTTTATGAAATATATAAAATAAAGTCCAATGTGTAATGGTTTTAGCATGATTCTTAAATGTAAGGGAAAAGATCAATTGGTAAGCTGGCGATTTTCTGATTTCATAATGCAAAGTATGCAAAGTTGTTGAAAGAAAATTTTAGAATCTATTTATCTACAAATTTTCTTAGAGTTTCTTTTTGCTCTTTTCCATCTGTTTGCTTCCTATTCTGCAGTTACTTTTACGTGAATACTTTCGGTGCAGGTTGTTGAGGTTTCAACCTCGAAAACAAGCAAGCACGGTCAAAGTGTCACTTTGTGGCGATCGATATCTTCAATTCAAAGAAGCTTGAAGATATTGTGCCTTACTCTCATAACTGTGATGTAAATCATCTCTTTGTTTTTAATCTCTCAGAAGTACAGAAGCAGTATGCTTTTATGAAGATGATTTGATCTATGTTATCTAATACTTGCAGGTTCCTTATGTTAACCGCACTGACTATCATAGACATATCTGAGGATGGCTTTGTAAGTCTTCTTATAGTTGTTTTTACTTGGTTTTTTAGCATCCATCAGTAGCATGGTGCCTAGGGATTAACATTGGAGTTTGTTTTCTTTCTTGTAGGTGAATCTTTTGACTGAAAATGGAAACACCAAAGATGGATAAGCTCAGAATCAATGGATGAAAGATGAGTCTGGCAACTATTAGATTCGTGTAGATCGTGAAGTTATAATAGCTACTGCAAGTTGGAGTCTTTGTAATAGTTCATGTTAGGGTGTAATTGTTTAAGGTAGTTGGAGTTTTTGTAATGCTAAATTAATGTAGTTCATCTTGGTATAACTTTCCTTTTGTTAATAGAGATTAGATTAGTTCATCTTGGTATAACCTTACTTGCAGAATCGATGTTTCAATTTTTTTGCTTAATTCTTCAATGCACAAAGTAGCAAAAAAAACTATAGCATCAGTATCCTAGATGGAAATTCTGTCTAGGATACCTACTATCATAGACGGAATTCCGTCTAGGATGCATCCTAGATAGATATCAGTCTAGGATGCATCCTAGAGGGAATTTTTCGTCTAGGATTATCCGTCTAGGATGCTTCCTAAATGAAAATTCCGTCTAGGATACTACATCCTAGACAGAATCTTATTGGACCAACATGTCAGACGGAATTCCGTCTAGGATAGCCTTTTTAGATGGAAATTTGACTTTCCTAGACGGAATTTTCCGTCTAGGATACTCTATTTTTTACAAGTTGATATTTGTTTGAATTTGGAAATAATATCTCTATTGGCGGATGAAAAGTTTAAAGGATTAAAACTAAGGAGGAGAAGTTAAGAACTTAGAATTAGATGTAATACAAAATGAAATTTACCATATCTACATATTGAATTGTGGATGTTATACATCTACTTGATCACAAGCAAGCTGATCTAACAAGTCCTCTCTAATATAAAGAAAAATGAAAAGGGAAGAAAAGAAGAGAGAGTTCAAGACATGAAGATCACGGGAAAAGGAAAAAAGACAAATCATAACTAAGAACTAGGCTACTTGGGGTTTGTTGGTTGATTTTCTTGAAACGTTTGCTGATACAAGGCCACCATTCTTTGATATGCATCCATTGTCATCGGTTGCTGTAACAACTCACAGAAACAATAATAAGAAGCTTAACTCCAGGACATATATATCACGATATTCTTAAACAAAATTATATGTTATAGTTTGTAAGTAATTACTATAGTGATCGCTCTGTAGTTTTTGTTTAAAGTACTATAATTTTTTGGAAGTTCCATTATCAAATTCGTTAACTACTTAGATTTCATGGGCAGTCATACAGGCTTATTTTGGCATATCATTGTCTTTGTCTAACCTGTAACCCGAGTGTTCAACATTTGACAGTAAGGGCCCATTTGCTTGATAAGAAGTATTAGAAGTAAGTAATAGATCAAAAAAATAACCTAAAATTAAGAAAAAGGAAATAATACAAGTTATTTTTTTAATTGTTTCACATAGTTTAAAAGTAGTGAAAACAGTACTTCTTTCTTATCATTTTTTTTCTATGATAATGATTGTGAATATTATTAAGAAGTAACTAAAAAAAGAAAAACAATTTGCCATGCTACTAATGCATAACAAATTAAGCAAGTCCATGGACTATATAATATATGCTGGAATTTCACAATTGTGTTATGTGATTTGCCCTTGGAGTCATAAATAACAATTCATGAAGAAATTTATGCATTTGATAGATACAAACATTTTACAGATGCTACCAGTCAATCCAAGTCAGGAGTGGATGAGCCTAAACAAAAGGATCAGGGCCATCAGGCTATCAAAAGAAAAGCAATTCTTCGTTCTGATAAAGTTAATACTTCAATTATGATCATAGCTTTGTGCGAAGGAGGTGGAAAGCAAAATATTTTAAAAAAGTGTAAGTGACAAAAGAGAGATGTTAGAATCTTTTGGATTTTAGCGGTGGAGAATATCATAATAGATAACTAATTTTATTACGTGATTAAAGGAGGTTCCTGTTACTTCTAACCTATTTCTGAGCTTCGAAGGGAGGGATAAAAAGTAACTAAGAAGCAGGGGTGCCTTATAGGCTCTATATTAGCAATTAAGAAAGTACTAGAAATATTTATTTCTAGAATTTTTTTTTATTTAAAAGTAGCAGAAATAACTTCTACTTTTTTTATTTCATACTTCATAAAATACATCCATGAGAACAAATAAGACTTAATTAAGTCGTAATCCCGACTCAAGAACTTATCCTCAAGCATGCAACCAGCTATGCACGGAGTTTTTTCTTGCGCGGGATCATCTTTCAAGAGCTCGGTGAAAGAAGTGGAGGATTCAATTCTGTATCTATATTATTTTGCAGATTTATCAAAAAAATTAATATTTTCTAATTTATCTTGCAATTGCCCGACATTGAGTTAGAATATCCTCTCATTTAACATTTAAAAATTTTGAAGTTCAAGGATGTAACAAAAAAGAATGTGGATCCTCTCTACTATATCCATAAAAGTAATGGAGGGACCACTATTTTTTATCACAACCATTGGATATCTATTGGGTGATTGTGATTGATTCTAAATCAAACACTCACCACAGTAGCCACACATAAATTGCACTCTCATTTCTAATTTGCACTCAAAGAAAAAACTTTACCATCCACTGCGGAATCAATGTTATGAAAAGTAATAATACCTCCACTATTATTTTTAGCAGTAGAGAGGGTCGAAACTCATCACTGCAAAATAATTGTGTGGACTCTCCCAAATTTATCCTATTTGCAGATTTACCCTGAAATTTGCATATATGCTAGTTTACCCTTATGAATTTCGACGCCCGATAAATGAGGCGTATAAAAATCCAATATAAGAGAATGTTTGGGTAAATATTGGTACAAACATGCGAGGAAGATATGTTTGGCTAGATTCAGAAAGTAAAAAAATAAATAAATTAATAAAAAGACAGTGGACATGCATTAGCTAGTTACCTGTGTCGGGCAGGGAACGAAGGCTGAGAAAGGATCAGCCATATTCACACCACCACCACCAACATTTCCAATCACGGCCCATCGAGCCCATGTCCATCATGCCCATTCCTGCCAGCCCCATCTGCGCCATTTGGGCCATCATGCTCATCTGGAACTGTTGCATGCCCATAGGCATCAACATGGGTGGTGCCATGCTGCTCATCCTGCTCATCATGCTGATCTGGGCTTGTAGCTGTTTCAAGTACTCAATTACCTCGTCCAGCATTGAAGCTTTGTCTGTCTGAGAATTGTGAGATAAACGTTTTTATGTTTTGTAAAGTTCTAAAGGAAAATAACAACGATATGATGTTATTGAGGGAATAGCTAGATTTTGATTGTGTTTACCTTGTTAGAGTTGGGAACCAGCTTCTGAAGAGTCCTTATTTTTTGGTTTATTCTATCTCTTCTTTTCTGTACACGTTCGCCAAACACTGTAAGCTTTTCAGATAAATAACTTGTGCAATTAAGTTCAACACTTTCCTGTCTAACATAAAATAATAAGGGCTAATTGCGCTTATAATCCCCCTTAGCATGTAGGTTTTGAACTTATATATACCCTTGTAATTTCCTTTTGGCAAATAGATGCCTTGGGTTAAATCTTCTCACTTTACTCACGAGTCGATCTAGATGAAATTTTGCCAGATAATGTCGATGTATGAGACAAGAGTGTCAAATTTAGGATAAAAGAGTCAAAAATTGCACTCAGGGTGTCTATCTGCCAAAATGAAACTATATGCAAAATATGTTCAAAACTACAGGTCCTATTTGCAAAAAGATCCAAATCCATAATACACCGATTCAGTATCAAGTGGAACTTTTAAATTCTCAATATCCAGCTTCAATATGAGAAGGGGAAAAATAGAAAATCCAAATTTATGATGTTTTCACCTTCACAATATGTATGAGAGAAAAGTTATGGCCTCTGTAAGAACTTTGTCCCATTGGCATGCAATACTATTTGAACTGTTAAAAATTAACTTGTTCTTTTCCCTAATTGACAATTAGCCCTTGGATAACAAAAAAGCTCTCCCAACGTCACACCGTTCGATACTTACAATGCATGCACATCAACATAGTCATAAATATACATGCGTATACAATACATTTGTGCATCTCCTTCATATATAAATAGTAATATTGTTGTGCTTATTTTAGGGTAGGGATTTAAAAAATATTTAGCAAAAATAAAAATAAATAATTAGAGAAAGACCACATACCCTTTCAGATTGGTTATGAATGGCAGCTGCCCTGCTCCTCTTAGTGGAGACAGAGAAAGACCACATACCCTTTCAGATTGGTTATGAATGGCAGCTGCCCTGCTCCTCTTAGTGGAGACGGTGGATCTCACAGTGCACTCCTCGATGACCTTCTCATCCTCCTCTCCAGCCATTCCCCTCTATTATCCATGTATGCATCCATATATTACTCAGAAGTATATAAAACAACAATTACCTTTTTGGTTGAAGTATATAAAATAAAACAATTACATGTATTAAAGGAAAATGCCGCTCCATGTTTATCCTTGGCAGATATTTAGTTTTATCCATTGAAATATAATCTATTAGTGCTGAATTTTCTGTTTAATTCATGATAGGATGTACTGAAATCATGAGCATGCCAAGTAAATTGGCCTATCGGATGTAGAAACGGGGAGACCGATTGGAATATAATACTATTATAAAAGTGTGTTGGGTGTTAATGTAAAACCCCGAAATTTTTATAATGAAAATGTGTGAATAAATAGTAATAAATTTTTCTTTTGTGATAAATAATCATATATATATATAAGATGTATATGTTTATCAGCGTTGGGAAACCAACAGGTATTTATAAGTGAGAGAAATCGAGTGAATACTCAGCATAGTATATGACTAGCAGCAGCAGGCATTTTTCTGCTGCGCGGTCGACCGTGGCGGTCGACCGCGTCGGTCGACCGCACAGCGGTCAGAGAGTTCTCTCAGATTCGGGTTCAAACGGGTTTCGGGTCGGGTTTGTGGTTTGGTATATAGACTAATAACCCGAGAGAACCCCATTTTTCTGATTTGAAATCAAAACCCTAGCCCCCCTCTCTTCCCTAAAACCCTAACTCTCTTTGCTTGGTGATTGGGAGGAGTTCTTGAGGATTTTCAGCGGGATTGTGGGATTTCAGCGAAGGGGATCAACCTCCTGCAGATCTAGGGATTCATTTCTCACCAGAGGCGAGTAACTTCTCGCCCAACTCCACCCCCTTGAGTTTTATTTGGTTTTATTGAGCCAAAATCGTATTTTTGAATAGCTAATAGATCATTATGGCTCATAATATGAGATTCAGGTATTTCCTTATTTTAAAAGCTCACCAATGAATTTTATTATGGAGGTCTAGATCTGAATACGTTTTAAAAGGAGAAAATTCCTGTTTTTATTGTTAACTATACATAGATCATGTTTAATTATGTCTGGGATCTTGGTAATAATTTCTAAATGTGTAAGCTTTCTTTATTTATCTGTTATATGACAATTTAAATATGCTATTTTGCTGCTTAACTCAAGGGAGAAAGATTGACAGGTTTCGAAGCTGACAGAAAACCCAGATCTGGGTTTTGTCTGCCTCGCGGTCGACCGCATCGGTCGACCGCAGGGCGCGCAGCAAGGGCAGAGCAGCGTCTGCCCTCTGCGCGGTCGACCGCGACGTCTTAGCGGTCGACCGCACCGGTCGACCGAGGGCATATACGCTGAACAGTAGAATTTATCTACGTGTGCGGTCGACCGGTGTGGTCGACCGACGCAAAGTTTTGTGCATTGTTAGATTTGCTGTATGTTTCATGTGTTTGGGGGTTTTGCCTCGATTATCAAATACTAGTTTACGTTTTTTCCATAAATCTAAGCATGATAGATGACCTGAGGGTACCAAATATAGAATTACATGCCGAGACGAGCGTGAAATTTGTATAAGTATATCTCCTCATACATTTCATCGATGATTACTAGTTGGTCCGTGTGATGGGAAAACTATGTTAAACTCATGTCCTCGTGTTGGACAAGCATTACCTTTTAGTCCTCGTGTTGGACACCTTTCCCACTTAGTCCTCGTGTTGGACATGCATTGCTATTTAATCCTCGTGCTGGATATGCATTACCATCTGGTTGATGCGTTGGACAACGGTCACATCCGGTCCATGCGTTGGATAACGGTCACATCCGGTCCATGCGTTGGACAACGGTTATATTCAGTCCATGAGTTGGACGTTTACTTCATGCAGTCTATGGGTTGGACGTTTAATTTATATAGTCTATGTTTAGGACACTTAATCGTTTTCTGACATGTCACTCATGTGAGTTTGACATGACACTATGTTTGGAAGTAGAGATGTGTTTTGTTTTCTTTTTAATTTATTCATTTATGTATTAGACTTTGGGTTTGGCATTTAGGGATTTACAATTTGAGATATAAGGTATATACATGAGAGTTTCCTTGTTTGGATTATTTCGCTCGACGTACCTATGCTCGTTGTAAATTTCTAAATACTAAAATCCTCTTTAGTAAGATCAATAATTTTAGATCTATTATGTATTATCTATATTTTTCTTATACAACGAACCATGTTCCCTTGGGGTTGGTTGTGATGTTACTCGCTAGCGCTTTGACGCTCGTTGTCCCTCCCCTTTTCAGATAACGAGCCAGGAGCCCGGAGAGTCGCAGGTTAATGGCGATGTATTTTAGCTTCAGCCGTCTATTTAGATATATATTTTCTTTTGGAGTTCCACAGTAGGCTTTTGTTTAGACATTTGAGAGTCTTGTTCTAGAAGTTGTAAAGGCTGTGTGCCTTATTTCCTTTACTCAGATATTTGTACTTGAGACTTGTTGAGTATTCCAGTTATCTATTCAGACATTGGCTATGTGTTTCTGTATGTTGGATGATGAGATATTTATGTGATCACTATCACTTCATCAGTTATTTCTTGCACTATCTTCTACTTGCTTTTGTACCTACACCTATTGTTGACTCTACAAGATAGATGTTAATTGTGATGGTGAAACATGTTATTACACGGTGTAGTGCATGGCAGGTTTGACATTCTTGTTTTCACCTTGGACTGCAGCTTTGTGTGAACTCAGGGGCGTCACAAGTGGTATCAGAGCTCTAGTTCTAATATCCTTAGGATCATCCTGTGTCGAGTAGTGGCGCTAGGATAGAGTTTCTTAGGATTCATGTATAGAGTCCGTAAGGAATTCCTAGTATGAGTGAGGATGATATATGCGTATATCTCAAAATTTGAGAATTTTTTTTAATAACTATTTGGTGTAAATTCAAAGTATTTGTGTGAAATACTATATGTTGTGAAAATTTCAATGTGATACGTTATTTATAAAGATCTATTTTGACTCATGAACTCTTTTTGTTATATGCTCAGATGTCAGACTATGGTATGCCACGTACTCGGAGACCTGGACAGGCTAAATCGCAGCAAACTCCACCCGAGCTACATCAGACGCTACCTGAGACGCAGCAGGCTCCCCAGTACCTAGTAGATCTTATGGCTCCCTTAGTCTCTAGGATAGCAGCAATAGAAGAGCATTTGGCGAATCATATTGCACCACCACCATCAGTAGCTGAAACCACCATTTCTTAAGAAAATGGGGCGGCTAAGCTTCAGAAGGACAAGGAAGGGCACCCCGGAGACAAGGGTAAGAAGAAGAGACCTTTGTCTGAACCTCAGCAGCGGCAGTAGGGCCCTCATAAGAAGGGACCCCAGCAGGATCAGAGAGCGTATCAGCAGTACAAGTTCCGGGGATCTTGTTTTAACTGTCGCAAGGTCGGACACAAGGCAATAGAGTGCCGCAATGCACCAACAAGAGCTCAGAAGGGATATGGTCTGAATCAACAGCAGTACAAGACTGAGGGGCAGGTTCTAGCAGTTTAGGAGATTACCCAGGGGCAGATTGTCTCATATTCTCCAGCACCAGTGTCAGAGCAGTTTTCAGCCTCTGGCAAAATGTAGGCAGTAGTTCCGCATGATCATGGGGCTAACGGAGCAGTTGTGGAGGGTACGTTCATCGTGAACCCTTTTTCCTGCCCGTATTCTATTAATTCGGGAGCTTCACGTTCTTTTGTTTCGTATGTTTTTATGGCTAGACCCCAAATCGTAGCTCAGTCTCTAGACACCTCTTTATCTGTTTCCACCCCTTTAGGTGAAATATCGCTTCTGGAGAGCAATTGTAGGAAGTGTAGCGTCAGTTTAGACGAGTCGGAGTTCATAGTTGATTTGATAATGTTGCATATGTCCGAGTTCGATGTCATCCTTGGTATGGATTGGTCGTCTTCCTACCCTATTAGTAATGACTGCTTTGCGATAACAGTCAAGTTGCGAGCGTCCGATGGGTCCGAGATGATTGTAACCCCCTCTCAGGGTAACCATGTTGCGAAGTCATTTCTGGCGTACATCGAGGAGGTGATGCGATGGGATCAGGGTATTGATTTATTGGAGATTAGAGTTGTCTCAGAGTATCAGGATGTCTTTCAGGGCATACCTGGATTACCTCTTGTGTGAGAGGTTGAGTTCTGTATTGAGTTGCAGCCAGGCACAGCCCCGATATCGCGCGCACCCTATTGCATGGCACCAGCTGAGATGAGGGAGCTTCAGACCTAGTTGGACGAGTTGTTAGCTCAGGGTTTTATTCATCGGAGCCATTCTCCGTGGGGAGTGCCAGTTCTCTTTGTGAAGAAGAAGGACGGCAGTATGCATTTGTGTTTTGATTATAAGAGTTGAACAAGGTCACTATCCGGAATAGGTACCCATTACCTAGGATTTATGACTTGTTCGATCAGCTGCGCAAAGCGCATGTTTTGCGAAGGCTGATCTTCGTTTTGGGTTATCGTAGTTGCGAGTTCGAGAGAAGGAGTTTTCCCAAAGCCGTGTTTTCCTGATTCGATATGAATCTTTTAAGTTTCTGGTCATACCATTTGGGTTGACCAATGCACCCGTTGTATTCATGGACTTGATGAACCGGGTTTTCCGTCCCTTCTTGGATCAGTTTGTGATCGTTTTCATCGATGATATTCTCATTTACTCGAGATCAGAGGCAGAACACGAGGAGCACCTACGAGTAGCTTTGAGGACTCTGCAGGAGCATCAGCTATATGCTAAATTCAGCAAGTGCGAGTTTTAGCTTTCAGAAGTCATATTTCTTGGCCATGTTATCAGTCGAGAGGGTATAGCAGTGGATGCAGCTAAGGTCACAACAGTTCTTGATTGGGAGCCACCGAAGACGGTGACAGAGATTCACAGCTTTTTGGGTCTGGCTAGCTATTACAGGAAGTTCATTCGGGACTTCTCGAAGATTTCGACGCCGATTACATGTCTTACGAAGAATGGTGTACAGTTCATATGGAGCATGGAGTGCCAGAAGGCCTTTGA